ATAGTGCCCAGGAGAACTAGTTCTTTCAAATTTTGTATGCCCATCACAGAGAACAAACACTGTAATGGGAGTTAGAGGCCACTGGGCACCTATCTGAGCTATCAGATGACTGTGTTGATGTAAAAGCCCATAAAAGAAGACGGCATCACAAACTCTGGTTGCAACACTTTCAGGTGTGGGTCCACCAACACTCTCCAGGACCATGCAGCAAGCACAGGCTCCCCATGTTCCTGAAAGAGGTCCTAAGTCTTAGCGCTGAAAGACTCTATACGTTACCTTAAGCAAATTATTCATACCTCCTACACCTCATATTTGCCACCTACAGTAGAAAAGTAAGGTTAATATAATACTAAGCTTATCCCGCTACCCTGTATTTAGGGTAAGGATTGAAAAAACTTCAAGCCCATAGATTTGCCTTACAGTTCACATATCATCACCCTGGTCAGAACTGGTTTCCAAGCCCCGTTGGTCAGAGGAAAGCATGGCCTTGCTCACTCCTTGCTGCTCCTCTGGAACAGGCAAGCAGCAAAGGGGAACAAAACAGTGCCCACCCATGTTCCTGCCCCACCACAGGAAGGAGCAGGGCCAGGCTCCCCAAAGGAATCTGGAGGAGGTTACAAGTCAACAGCTCCCATTAAAGGAGACAGAAATTCAAACCAGAGTCTTCTGGAATGGTTTACATGGCACATAAACCAGAAACCCAATCATAGAAATCATTCAACAACTGATCGGGATTAGTTTTATGAAAGCAGTCTTCAAGAGTAAGGAGGATGCAGTACTTTTTGCTAATTTGGAGGCACGTGCTCTTGCCTTATGGAAATCTCTCCCTGCCAACAGATTTGCAAGCTGAACATCCCATGCAATTAAATGGGAAAAGTCAGGTTTTGGCAACTGGAGCATCAAGATGTAGGGCTTGCCTTACGGTGACAGAGCTGGTTTGCAATTGTATCAGCCCTGTGCTTCCAGCAGCTCTGGCGTTCTTGTTAACAGATCCTTTCTTCACTCTTAAAAGTGTAGGATAACATCTGGGCCTTTTGGGAAGCAGTCTCGCAATAAAGAAGCACTTTGTGTAATTCTTCTTTCCTCGCCAAACCACATCTGTCTGCTCTCCCTGCCCTTCTCCACTCCACCCGAGCTCCTCGGGGCTACAGGGACACATGCTGCTGCAGCAGGCTGTCTCCACTCAGCCATCAGTAGGTGGCACTGCCTGCTTTCCTCTCTACCACATCAGCATCCGTTGCCAACATCCCACACTCACTAACATCAACGACCTCAGGATCAACATGACACCCAGGTGGCTTGGAGGCCTCGTCTCTGTGAAAGGTAACGTGGAGCAACCAAGCAGACTACACAGCTGCTGCCCTTCACCAAAGGAAGGAAGTGGCCAGCAGCATGAGAACCTCTCCATGCTACACAAGGTCTGGAGCTCCTCTGCTCCCACAGTTCAGCAGACAGAGCCAGTCTGTCCCCACATCACATCGTCAGCCACCCTGCCCATGAGCAATTCAATGTGACTACTTAAAGAAAGAAAAAAATCCCAGCCCATTTGGCATTTCACTTTGCAAGGTACACTCCCAACAACTGTTGTCCCATCCCAAACTCAGAAACTCATGCAGTCACCCATCACCTGGCATCAGCAGCCACTGACCAGCCATTCAGATCAGCAGCATGCAAAGCTTTCATGGTTAAGCCCCACTCAGCTGCAAACGAAGGCTCGCTGCCGGGCACCCTGCCTGGTGGCAGCGAGGTTTGTCAGTCGGCATCCTGCACCATGGCCACCACAAAGGGCATTCACCCACTGCCCATCTGCTGACGGCAGGGAGGTTCCCCCAGTGGCTGCTTCCACCATGGCTTCACGGTCTGCGCTTCCCTTCCCCCTGCTTCTGGGAACACAGCGCTGAATTCATGCAAGAACGGGGGAGGACTCCTCCTTCCAGAGTCCCTCCTTTGCAAATATGCTTGCACTGAAATTAATTGTATATTGGACTTCTTCGCACTTGGAAAGACTGTCTGCTTCCACCTAGAACACGCAACACCCATTCAGAGCTTTACCACTTGGATTTTCATGCTAAAAGTAAGCCTTGTGCCCTATCCCCCTGACTGCGCATACCTATAGGGAAACCATTATGGTAAAAAGGTCGGTAATTATCACTTGCAAAGAGAAGGAAATCCGATTTAAAATTGGGTGTGTTAAATACGGTCAGCTAGCAAATCCTGCACCGCGGAGCTTGTCAGTTAAGTGTTACATTTAGTACAACTTTAAGTAACGATGTATATATATAAATACGTATTTTAAGAGCGACAAATACCATCACAGTAGCACTAAAATCAGTCAGTAGCAAACACACGCTTGTGAACCGAATCGATTCCCGCTGCAGTGCCGCCCCAGTTCCCCATCGGCACACGCTAAGCCAGCCGAGCGCTGAATTCTCCCCGAGCTGCGGGTACCGGGCGCTCCTTCCCCTACCACCGGCTGCAGACAAAGCCGGCATCACCTTCCGTTGAGGGTTTGTGATTGTTTTTAAAAAACCGGCGGCTTCTTCTGACACGAAGGAGCGCTCCTGTGAGCGCTGATAGATGGCTGGCACGGACAGGAGCTCGCACTTCTCCCGACGTCTGCAGTGCCAAACCTCCCTGCTCTGCTTCAGCAGAAAGAGATGTCCCAAAGAGGAGGGCACGCTCACGCCACGAAGGGCAGCACCCTACCTTGTGATACTTCGGGGCCATAATCACATCATTACAGCAAATCAAACATCACCTTTGTGCCTTTACAATCCTGCCATTGTCCGAAATTAAATGCAAATGGTTTGATTCTCTTTCCTTCCTCAAACAAGGGCGGGGAGGGATTAAAGAGCACTCAATCACCTTCCTCTCCGATCACACGGCGTTCACACAGCGGCATCGCAGCACTGCGAGCAAAGAAACCGCAGCTCGGAAGGAAAGGGAGAGCTCGGGCACCGCGTCAGACGGGGAGCGGCTGCAAAGCAATTAGCGGGCCGCGAAATCCTTCGTTCCAATAAATCAGCGACCTGCTTGCTTCTCTTTCCCCTCTGCGTTTCGTTCTAAAAGCCTCCCGAACGCACCGCCCCTCTTCTCCTAGCGACCTTGCGGACTCACCGACAGCGCTGCCTGCACCTGCCCGGCCCAGGGGATGGGAGCGCGGCAGCAAAGCAACCCTTCAGTAGGATGGACCCGCTCTCCTCTCTCCGCTTTTCCACGTTCCTGTAATAGCGCTGATTGGCCGCATCTGCCGGAGCCGACCCATCTGGCTCCTGCCCCGGCGGAGGGCACGGCGGATGTGTCAGAACGCGGGGCTGAGGGCAGGGTGCGTTCCGAGAGAGCTCTTTCCCCTCTATCCTATATCGTACAGTAAAGCAGTTTTTTTAAAGGAAGGCTAAATAAATAAATAAATAAATAAAAGCTGATTTTGACAAGAGACAGGCCCGAATGGGAACTGCTGAGACAGTAAAGAACAAGTCTGTTATCTTACAAACTACACTTCAAGCTGTCAGCTGCCCGAGATTTACAGGAAAACCTCCTTCCTTAGGACGAAACCTACACCGAACTTCATTTCCAGCCCCACCAGTGCCACTTCACCACTCCGAGCCGCTCCAGCCGCGAGCAGGTGGCAGCGGCAAGGCGAGGGGCAGCGCCGGTCCCCCTCCTGCCAGGAGAACAGGCAGCCCCAGAACGGTACGATGCGTTCGACGGCCGCGAGCAGTGGGAGTGCGGCTGCCGAGGGTAAAATGGAAGCGGCTGTCAAGGGCCAGAGAAGAGGGGAGGAGACGGTTTGGCTTTCGAACCCCTTTCCTCTCCCTCGGCCGCAATGCTCGGACAGTGATTTCTAAGCCCAAATACCGCCCTGGGCCGGCTTCCACTGAAAACACGGAGAGTTCCAGCATAGAGACCAAAGGATCCCGTCCCCTTTTCAGACTTTAGAGACATCGTCGGTTTGCCGTTGGTCGCCCGTTCCCACTTTCCCCCGTTTACGGCTCCCGGCTGCCATCGAAGCCCCATTCCCGGCCCCGCCGTGCCCTGATGCGGCCGTCGGGTCAGGCTGCAGCCTCCTCCCTTGGTGTTGCCTCACCGAGCAGAGCGGCACTTCCCCGGCCGTCCCTGTACTTCAGGGATTCCAAGGGACTCCCGGTGCGCTTCCTCCGGCTGACAGAGCCGGGGTACAACCAAAGCAAAAGGCGATGACAAAACCGTCACGAAACCGAAAAGATGGTTCTAATTTAGCAGCGCGCTATTTTTAAACGGGGCGGCACTGAATCACCCTCACGAGGGTTCGTCCTGCCGCGGGGCCGCGCTTCTTCCCCCGACGCCCGCGGAGCGGCCGAGAGGCTTCCGGACCCAAGCCTTCCTTGCCTCCCCTGGCACCGGGGAACGGGACGTGCTCATACCCCGCTGTTGGCTCTGCTGCACCCGGGTAATTACCGCACCCGGGGTGTTCCATCGGAAACCAAAGGAGCGAGGCACATCGCTACCGGAATGGCAGCTCTCTGCGGTTCGCGCACGAGGAAAGATAATGGAAATTGAAAGGAAGGAGGGAGGCTCAATTCTTATTTTCCTGCAGATGAATCGCAGCTGCCCACTCGTTAAGCGGAACTTTCAACTCCAGAGCTGCGACCGCGGGGGCCTGACGCTGCCACTCCTGCTGTTGACGGAGAAGAAATACAAAACTCCTCGATTCAGTTCAAAAGCCGCCTACCGTGACACCGTCTCCTCCGCTTTCCGTTTTTACACTACCGGAACGTTCGCGTTATTCGAAATAGCGGCACTGCCATCGGAACGAACCCATTCGGAGCCCCGTCGACGCCCTATGGCGCAGCCTTCGGGGCTGTCTACACCCGCACGATGCTTTCCGGAGGGTCTCCCCTGGCCCCTTCGCCGGCCCCGCGCCGCCGTCGGGACCGCAGGCACTGCCCTCCCGGCCGTAGCGCCCCGTTGCTACCCCGCTCCCGGCTCACGTCGAGGACAGCCCCGCCGCCGGCGCCTACCTGCAGGACGTTGGCGTGGCGCAGCCGCTGCAGCAGCACCATCTCCTTGACGATCTTGTAGGCGGCCAAGCGGTAGCAGTCGGCCAGAGCCGCGAACTGCCGCACGCAGCGGGCGACGTCGTGCCCTCCGAAATCCACCGCCTTCAGCGCCACGGCCAGAGACCGGTTAAGCACCGCTTTGTAGACGGCCTTGGTGTAGCCCGAGCCCAGGTACTGCACGCCGCCGGCGGCGCGCAGCTCGCGGCAGCCCAGCGGCGGCGGCTCCAGCCCCAGCTCGGCCGAGGCCCGGCCCCGCTCCGCCGCCGCCCGGCCCCGCGGCTGCTGCTGCTGCTCGGCCGAGGTGCGCGCCGGGGCCAGGTCCATTAGGCGCCGCTCCCGCGGCCGCACCGCCCGGCGCACCCCCGCCGCCCGCGGCTGCCGGTAGCGCAGAACCTCCTCGTAGCGCTCGCGGAGCTGCCGCGCCAACGCAGCTCGCCCGCCGCCGCCCTCCTCCTCCGGCGGCTCCAGGGGGGCGCCGGGCGGGGATGGGGGGGCCCCGTCGCGGGGCGGCGGCGGAGGGAGCTCGGAGCCGGGCACGAAGAGCACGTTGAGCAGGGTGCCCAGCAGCAGGGCGAGGCAGCAGGCGGCCGCTACCGCCGTCTTCCTGCGCCTCATCGCCCCCTCGCTCCCGTGCTCGCCCCTTCCCCGGGAACCGGCCGCAGGGCTCGTTTCGGCTCTCCCCGCTTTTTCCCCGAGGCTGCGCCGGCGGCGGAGCGGGGCCGGGCGCTCAGCCGGACCTCGGCCCCTTACGGCGCACCCGCATGACACTTGCCTCCCCGCTCCTCGGCTCTCCGGCACTTATTATTAGCGGGAGTGGAGGAGGGCGGGGGGGCGGGGGGGATCCCCGGGTCGCTCCCTCCGCTGACGCGCCCTGATTGACACCCGGCCCTCCGGCCGAGCAGCAGGGGGGCCTGGGAAACGTAGTCCCCCGGAGCAGCCCCGCCGGCCGCCGCCTGGCCCGGGAGCGGGACTACATCTCCCAGGCTCGGCCGAGCCCCCCGGCGGGGAGGGCGCGGGGCGGAGCGGGGCGGAGCGCAGCGCAGCTGCCGGGCGGTGTCCTTCCCCCCCCATCCCCCCCCCACCCCAACGGGAACCGCGGCCCCGTGCTCTCTCTCCGGCGGGGCCGGGGCTGGGGCGCCGCCGTCGGGGGAACGAGGGAGCTGCCCGGGATGTGCCACGGCCCCGAAGGACGCGCGTGGCCGTGAGGGAGCGGTACCGCGGGGAATGTATCACACGCTCGGCATGGAGCTGTTAATCGCAGTCCTCACGCTGCCGGAGGTGCGAATCGCCGGGGGGAGCGCTAATGACACGGTTATCCATCAAGGCCACATTACGACGCTGTTAGCAACTAATTAACAAGCACAATCAGCCCGAGCCGCTGCCACAAAGGAGAGCCCATCAGCGGGAGGAAAGCCGCTAAGAGGCCGGCGAGGCAAAGTTCACCACAATGGCAGCGGGAAATCGCTTCCAAGGAGGAAGAGGGACGGCGATCGGGGCAATACACATGGCACGCACATAAATAAAAATGAAAGAAATAAGCCACGGCTCTCCCGGGAGCTCGGGGCGGCTCAGCCTCCGGCCCCGCAGGGCCGTAATCACCCCATAAACAGAGCGGGGCGCGTAATCACCGCCTCCAATAAAGCCTCCCCGCCGCTCCGTGGGGGGGCTCCGCCCGGCGGATCGCTCTGTAGCCCCGGAGCCGCGCGCTCCCCATTGCCCAATGGTTTCTGTCCATGCTTGCGGCTTTCCGTGGTCGGATGGGGATTTACAGCCGGTTCGGTACCAGCCAGCGCTCCCCAGCTCTGCAAAGCCGGGGACGGGATGAAGTCGTGGAACAATCGTGTTTAGGGGCACGGTGCAGCCCGGCTTGGGGGCTGCGCGTCCGCGGAAGCTCCGCGCCCGCCTCATATGCGCGGTGCACGGCAGCGGACAGCCCCGACCGCAAAACAGATGCTTCGCCGCAGATGAAAGCGGCCCACCTGCTTTTCGCATCGCGTCCCATCTCCTAGCCGCTTTTCTTCATTATATCCCTCCCGACAGATACCATGAAATACATCGCTCATTTAGATATGGGAGCAGACCTCTGGAGGACGACTTGTGCGGAGCCCTTTGATGTCGAGAGACAGATTTCAAATGCCAGAGAGTCCCTCCATGGTTTTAATTACCCCTCGCCCGGGGCCTGCCGCTGATTAGGGCGGCGAGGCGGGCGGGCGGCACGGCGAGAGGGGCTGCGGCCTCGCTACAGCGCGCTGCCAGCAAAACCAACACGGTTCTGTAAACACAGCTACCGGGCAAAGTCAACAGCGAGCTGCGGCCGACAGCAAACAGCCCGCGGGGCCGCGCTGCTTCCCGACGGAGCCGGCCCGAGGCTTCCCTCTGCCCCGCCGCTCCCCCGTGTCCTCACTTAGGACGCAGCGCTGAGAGCATCCCTGACTCCGCGGCACTGGGCGCACCCGCGGGGCTTTCAGGTTGGCAGTGGCGCTGGGAAACGTGAAGCGCTGCAGAGGGAGCGAGGGCTGAAGCGCATCTTTCCACGTCAACTTTACTTGGGCCCCCAACCCGGCCCGGCGATGGAAGCAATGCTACTGCCAAGCAGAGCACTGCTGTCCTTGTTCTCACACCAGCTTTCAAGTGACTCTCCACTGATCCACTGATCCTGAGATTTTGGCTCTAGGCCCCAAAACCCCAAATCCCATATTTCAGGTTAGATATTAGGAAACATTTCTTCTCAAAAATAGCAGTGATGCACTGGCACAAGCTGCCCAGGGAGGTGGTGGAGTCACCATCCCTGGAGGTGTTCAGGAACTTTGGAGATGTGGCACTGAGAGATGGGGTTAGTGGGCATGGTGGGGGTGGAATGATGACTGGACCAGGTTGTAGAATCACAGAATCACAGAATCTAGACTCACAGGAATCAGTGAGTCCAACCCCTGTCTGCACACAGGAGCACCCAGAATTCAAACCCTATGTCTGTTGGCACTGTCCAAGCACTCTTTGAACTCCGGCAGCTCAGGGCCGTGCCCACTGCCCTGGGCAGGCTGTTCCATGCCCACCACCCTGTTGTGCAGAACCTTTCCCTAACCCCCAGCTACTCTTCTCCTGAAGCAGCTACATGCCATTCCCCCAGGCGCTGTTGCTGTCACCAGATGATCATAGAGGTCTTTACCAAACTTAACGATACCATGAATTCCAATCTTGGGCAGCTTCAGGTCCTCAGTTAAAAAACACAGCTGGAAACACGTCTGTGGGAGCTGGGATCTGTCAGAGCTTCTGCAGGGTCACTGGTTCTTCCAGAAGATTTGTGTGCTAGCACTGCTTCTCTCTGGCACTTAGGAGTTAATGCTTTTTGAAAGGACTTCATAATCTTTTGAATTCCTGGCCACCTGTTCTGGCTGTTTGTATGGAAGTGGAGCTTTTTTTTTTGGAAAGCCTGAGCCGGGAGGCCCGAGATCCCTTGAACACCCAGGGCTGTACCTTTGGGTGCGGGCTTCTCCACAGCCAAGTTCTCCATCATCCTCTGCCCTGCCAGACTTCAATCCCTTGAACGTGTAGGTTTTGCAGTCTTCAGAGAGTGTTCTTACATGGCAAAATCTTTATAGTACTTCCTAAACAAGCACTTTCTCTCCTTTCTTTAATGTTGTTTCTTCCTTTTCTCTCAGGAAACCCACTCCCTTGTCTATTTGAAGCAAGCTGAGATGCGGCCAATTGTATTAGTTCTGGCTACAGCAAAAATGCAGAATGAAACCTGAAGTGTGTGGTGTGAGTCCAAAATAAATGGTCACTAGCAGAGCCAGCAAAAACTTGCGAGTGCAGACAGTCTGCAAAAAGGAAAAGCTTGGGCTCTACCTGCGGCGCTTTGCATTTTTTCCAAAAGGAAAAATAAGTTCTGGCTTTAAAGAGCTTGGGAAGAGACGCTGGAGGCACTGTGCCTGTTTGTGATTGCATTTATGAATTGTGATGATTCTTGCTTTTTTTTTTTTTTTTTTTTTTTTTCAAATGCAGCATCTGTAAGTGGGGGAAGGTGCTTTATCTCCCATCCTGTGTTCTCAAAACACAGCATTGATTTTTACGTGCCAGATGTCAGCATGCCCCGATTCTCCATCAGTCAGTCGGGATGAAAGCCTGCCCATATCACAGAGGTGTTGCAAGGATTACTCTGCTCCTGCACAGGGAAATCTGGTACCGCAGCGATAAAGACCCTGTAAATATTTACACAGACAGAGCGAGCTCATGGAAGTGCTACATTATTGGCTTAACTTCACTGCAAGGAAGTAGTTGAAAATGTCACAGATATATTACGTTCAGTCTTATTTTTAATTAAGCATCGACAACATATTTGGTGCTGCTTCAAGCCACAAGATTCAGAGAGCTGCTGCTCTAAAAGTTTTACAGACTGCTGGGAAATACCAAGTCTCAAGCAAAGGCAAGAAGTAACACAGCTACTTTAGGACTAAATCCTGCCGGTTGGACCTTTACACTTCTAAGCATTAATAAAATAGTGGGGAAAGAACAGCCAGAGGATATAATTTATTTGAACATTCAAAAACCTTTTGATAAACACCCATACAAGAAACTGTTAAAGAAACTTGGTAACCACAGAATTAAAATCCGGTTATAAATAGAGATGGAAGAAATGGCCAATTCCGGTAGGGAAAGAGATTAATAATGAGGTGCTCTAGAGATCAGGATGCAGACCAACATTGTTTAATCCTGTATTAATAATGGTGGGGTGAAGACTGAAGTGTCAGAAGTTGATGTCAATAGAAAAGCAGTTAGCTTAGGTCAGAACAGCTCCAAAAGAATTTAATAACACAGCAGGACCCTGTGCAGAAGTAAAAGCACAGTGTGAAAGGTGCCCTCAGAACCTGCAGCAGCCCTCCCGCTCCCCCTGGCATGCTGGCACCATCCCACAGCTGTACAAGGGTGAAGGTCGATAAGCAGGGCACAGGCAAAGATTTGCACGGCTCAGCTGCTTCCTCGCTCCTCCCATGGGCTGCCCAGCTCCCACAGCCTGCAGTGCCAAGAGGCTGAACTCCCTCTACCAGCTTGAATAATATATCTGAATGTGAATAATATATCTGAGAGCTTCTCCAGCAAATGTTTAGAAAAGCCAGTGTGAGATCCTCATGGCTTATTCTCCCCTGAGAACATGCCAAAAGCTCTCGGTCACCTCTCACAGATACTTTAAGCATTACGTGTTTGCTCTGATGAGAGCAACATGGCAGCAACCCTCCAGCGCACGTGGTCTATGTAAGCTCCCAGGAGCAGTCTGGCACCTCCCGGCACAGCCAGGGTGCGAGTAGCTGTGTGCAAATAGTCCCCTCCCCCAATGCTACACAGTGTAAATGTGTCTGAGCTATAACCACTGACCTGAGGCTCTGTCACTACTGCCTAGAGAAGCTGTGGTGCCCCTTCCCTAGAGGTAGATAAAGCCAGGTTGAATGAGGCCCTGGGCATCCTGAGCTGGAGCGGGGGTGGGGAGGGAGAGGGCACAGCCCTGACCATGGTTAGGGGTGGGACTGGATGATCTTTGAGGTCCTTTCCAACCCAAGATTTTCTATGATTCAGTGATTCTTTAGAGTGGGCTCTTTGCTACGAGGTTTTTCTTCCCACTG